AAAGCAATTCTGGTCAAGCTTTCTATCAACACCAGCAGACCAGCTATTGGAGAAATTTGCATCTCAGAACCAAGAGAAGAGAGTGTAAGGCCTATATACTAGAGTAGACTCGTCTAGTCAAGCAAGTACTAGTAAATAGATTATTAGACCTAAGCCGACACAGTCAACTTCGACTAGGAGCAGGTATTTCGACGCAAGTGAAGCCATAGAGCAAGAAGTTCTGGACCACGAAGTAGCTCCCGGCAATACGGAAAACCTAAAGGAAGTAGGACAAGTTCCCTCATTGAACACAAGTATAATGAACGAAGCACAAGAAGTACCTATACCCACGGATCCAGGTGCCGAGCCCCACACATAGGTGACACAGCGGCACTAGCCCTGCAAGAAGTACACCACCTCTGGGACCAGCTCAATACTCAACTCCCATCAGAAATGCATAAGGTCTATGTTGCCCAGGACAAGATTCAAGAATAAGTAACAACCTTGTCGTCTACTATGTCGCATGTAGTAAGCAAGTTACAAGAGATCACAGCAAACCAAGAAAAGGTGACACAAGTAATGTCGGACAAGGCGCAGTATGAGAACCCCATGGAAAAAAGGCGCACAGATCCCACGGTCAGGCACCCGATCTACACAGGCATATGATGATCCTTCTGACTCCGATAAGGACTCATCTTCATTATCTGATGATGATGCCTCGGACCCAGGGATGGAACAGGTGAACAAGTCCTCAGACGAAGACTCCACTGGTGAGGGTGACGGCAAGCAAGGATCCCACTCACACTCACGCAGCCCTTACAAGTTCAAGCCACCAGAAGAAAAGTACTCAGGTAGCCCCTACAAGATCGAATCCTGGCTATTCAACCTCGAGGAGTATTTTACCAAGGCCAACATCAAGAAGAATATGTGTGTCGCCATCGCAACAAGTCAAATGGTAGATGATGCGACCCTATGGTGCGTATGTTAAGACAAGCAGACCAGGCCCCTAAAACATGGCATAAATTCAAGAAGGCGATTCGCGAACGATTCTTACCATTGAATGTCTATAAGACCAATCGCCAACGACTCGAGTCCTGTCGCCAAGTTGGTAGCGTGACCAAGTATAACTCGGCATTCCAAGCTGCATTTGTTGAGTGCACTGACGTGAGTGAGGCGGAAGCGCTCAGCCGTTTTGTCAATAATCTCAAGAGCCAAACCAAGAAGTATGTCGAACTCGAGGAACCCAAGACTCTTCGCAAGGCAATGAAGCTTGCTGAGAACTATGACAATGCCAGTTTGAGTACCCAAGGTAGCCAACACCACACGTCACATAAGAATAGCTCACCTGGTAAGAAGTTCAAGAAGCATTTTGGCTCCCGCCATTTCAAGGACCGCTCTCGAACATTCAAGAATGACCCCATGGATGTGGACCAGACTGAACGGATTCCCACTAAGCTTACCTGGGAGCAAGCTCGTAAGGAAGGTCGTTGCCAATACTGTGGCTCCAAGGAACATATCAAGAAGGAGTGCCATCTTCGCTCCATGTTCCACCCAAAAAACTAAATTTGTCAGTATGTAACACGCTGCCAGGTCGTGCTGACAAACAAGATATAAACCCTGGCAAGGATCCTGACAAGAGTCCTAACAACTGTACAAGGCTCGAGGACAATTCGGCACAAGGCACAAATAGCAACAGAGTAGTGATCATCGCCATCAAACAATAAGAATTACCGGACATTGTCAATCTTATCCCTGTTGTTTTTTGCTTGATTCTGGTGCTACCCACAATTTTGTCTCCTTGGACTTCATCAATAAGCATGGCCTCCAAGATTTGCTTAAACCAGATACTGGGTCGATGACATTTGGCAGTGCATCTCAGGCAACATCCACCTACTTTGCAGACCTGAAGATCACTCTAGGCCCAAGTTCTTGCGGACTATCCAGGCTTATACTGGCATCAAGAGCTCTAAGCACGACCTTATCTTAGGCAAGCCATGGCACTTCGATGAAGAACCCCAGATTGATTGGTAATCACATAAGGTTGTTGTGGCGGGGGAGGAGATCCTGGCTCAAGGACATATTAGACCCCATCAAGTGACCCCAGAAGTACAATTTATCTCGCGCCGACAATTTAACCGCTTATGCCGATGGAACGAACTCGAACTATATGCACTTATACTGACAGATTGCAAGGATGAAGGAATGGATATAAGGAAGGCAGCTCAAGGAGCTGAAATGCATAGCTCCAATGCTCTACTCAAGCTAGTTGACTCATATGCTGATGTGTTCCCTGCGGAATTGCCCTCAGGACTACCACCACAAAGACACGTTGATCATACTATTCCAATGGAACCTGATGCTAAGATCCCAGCACAGAAGCTTTACCGGCTCTCTAGTCACGAATTGGGTGAACTCAAGAAGCAACTTGACGAGTTAATCGCCAAAGGATGGATCGAGCCAAGCAAGTCACCCTATGGCGCCCCGGTACTATTTGTTGCCAAGAAGGATGGAAGCTTACGAATGGTTACGGACTACCGTGCATTGAACTCAACAACGATCAAGGATGTTTACCTACTACCTCGCACAGAAGAACTGCTCGACCAATTACAAGGTGCCAAGGTATTCAGCAAACTGGACCTACGTTCCAGATACCACCAGATTCGTGTGGACCCCAAGGACATTTATAAAACGGCGTTTATGACCCGATACGGACTATATCAGTATACTGTCCTACCATTTGGATTGACTTCGGCTCCCGCGACCTTTATGTGCTTGATGAATGATATCTTTAGAGACCTCTTAAATGTCTGCGTCATTATTTACTTGGATGACATTTTGGTATATTCTAAGTCCGAACAAGAGCACAAGGAACACCTGCAAATGGTTTTGGAGCGTTTACGTGAGCACAAGCTATATGCCAAGTTGGAAAAATGCGAGTTTGGTGTCAAGCGGCTTGAATTCCTAGGACACTACGTTGATGAACAAGGTTTACATACCGACCCAAGCAAGGTCCAAGCGGTTGTGGATTGGCCACCACTCTGTAATATCAAGGATATCCAATGCTTCCTCGGTTTGGTGAATTACTACAATCGGTTCATCAAGGGTTATTCAAGCATCGTGCACCCCCTGACTCGGTTGCTATGCAAGGATACTCTATGGCAATGGACCAAGAAAGAACAACATGCTTTTGATACACTGAAACAAAGTTTGGTTTCTGCGCCAGTGCTGGCACTGCCGGACCCAACGAAACATTTCTTTGTCCATACCGATGCATCATCAACTGTAGCAATTGGAGGTATCTATCGCAAGAACAAGAAGATGGGAAGCTGCACCCTATAGCTTATACATCAAGATCTATGACCCCAGCCGAGTTGAACTATTCCGTTTATGAGCAAGAAATGTTGGTGCTCAAGCATTGTTTACTGAAATGGCGTCATCATTTGGATATGCAGAAGTTTACTGTTTTTACAGACAACTGGGCACTATCATCTCTCAAGACCAACACCAATCTGAATAAACGACATATTCATTAGTTAGAGACACTTATGTCCTTCTCTTGGGATGTCCATCATATCCCCCGAGAAAAGAATCATGGGGCCGATGCTTTGAGCAAGCGTCCTCCATCAAAACCGTCGAACCCAGATGCCAATAAGGAGTTACAAGAAGTCTACTGGGTCCAAAAGCAAGATACTATAGAAGCCGAGATCAAGGACAAGTACGACAAGGATGAGTACACTAAGGATCTTTGGGACAAGCTCTGTTGTGGCATCGATGTACCAAACATCACGTTAGTAGACCAGTGGTTGTACCGTCATCCTGAAGGAAAAGATCATCGTCAACTAGTAGTACCAAGGATGCCACAGATCCTGAAAGACATTTTGTATGATACCCATAATGCACCATCAGCAGGCTACCGAGGAATAGATGCAACTATTGAAAGGATTGAACGCCAATTCTATTGGCCCAACATCGCCAAGTTGGTTCGTCAATACATTGGTGCTTGTGACAGCTGTCAAAGGAACAAGGGTACCAACAAGAAGCCAGGAGGTTTGATCCAGCCATTGGAACCAGCCCAAGGTCGATGGGAATCAATATCAATGGACTTCATAACCTAGTTACCAGTAACCAAGAATGGGTATGATGCCATCATGGTGATTGTCGATCGATTTTCCAAGAGAGCACACTTCGCACCATGTTACACAACAGATACAGCCGAAGATGTAGCACATCTATTTTTACGAGAAATATATCGTCAACATGGGTTCCCCAAGGAAGTGGTATCGGATTGTGACCCAAAGTTTACATCAAGGTTTTGGAAGGCATTATTCGAACAGTTACAGATCAAGCGTAAACTTGCAACCGCGCGATATGCAGAAACTGATGGTCAAACCGAAAGAGTGAACCGAATACTTGAAGATCTTTTACACCATTATGTTGCATTCGATCAATAGGATTGGGATGTATAGCTACCAGTTGTGGAGCATACATACAACAATACATACCAAGCGTCAATCAAGATGACTCCATATTACTGTGACTTAGGTCGTCATATCCTCACCCCAAGTTACCTGGAATCTAACTCAAGTAACGAAGCTGTGGCGTACCTCGAGTCAAGACTCAAGACGATCGGTGAACACGTAACTGACAATATCAAGGCTGCTGCAGCCAGGCAAGAGCAGTATGCCAACCTACATAGGCGTGATGTTGAATTCGAAGTTGGATAAGAAGTACTTGTGGATCAACTATACCTAAATCCACATAACTTCCCACGATCAGCCAAGAAGAAGCTTGCAGCCAAGTATGCAGGTACCTATAAGATTACTGAACGCATTGGCAAGGTATCTTATCGTCTCGAGCTCCTAACAAATATCAAGGCACACAATGTATTTCATGTTCGAACGCTCAAGCCGTACACTCAAAGTCAAGACCACCGGACCCCGGCACGACCACCACCTTTAGTTATTGAAGGCGAACCCGAGTATGAAGTTGAAGCTATCATTGACAAGAAAACTTACAAACGACGCATCGAGTATCTAGTCAAATGGTTAGGCTATCCAATTCATGATGCTACATGGGAACCACTCAAGAACTTGGACAATTGTCAAGTTTTTATTCAAAACTATAAAGATAGACTTCACAAAGGAGCTACATCAACCACACCATCATCGACCCAAGACAGGCGATACGGCATACCAGGTGGCAGCATCAGGACCACTAAGGGCCGACCCAAACGATCTTGATCCTATAAACCAGGGAAGAGGTCCACCTGATGTGGAGGGGGAGGGATACCTGGATTTTGCTATTGCTGTTGCTAGTGAACACTAGGAGACCTAGGGTCTTGTGATTGCTCCATATGGTCCACTGCAGGCGATGTCACAGGAGACATAGAATCCGAACGAGCAGACCCAGGGGAGCTTGGCAGAGACACCAAGGGAGTAGGAGGGGTATGCCCTGTGGTAGTAACCTCAGGTGCACCCAAGGAGCCCTCAAGAGGTGACATGGACCCAAGGCGGAGCTGGTAGTCAGTTTCATCACTAGCCAGCTCATCTACCTCTTCAGCATACTCAACCTCATCATCAGTCTCTACCAAAGGACGAACACGAGCACCAGCCAAACGACCAGAACGACGCAAGCCACCAGGAACTGCAACTGAGCCACCACCAGAAGCCACTGAGCTATCACTAGAAGCCACTAAGCCACCACCAGACCGAACAGAACCAGGAGGACTAGCCTGAAAGACAACAGGACCAAAGGTACCCAAATCTAGGACACCACCAGTAGGACCAAAAAGTGGCAACTTAGGAGGAGCCAAGGAAGGGTTCACCTCACTACCAGAACGCAATTGGCCCAAGGAGCAGACCAAACCCATTGGCTCATGATTGCGCCGAGACTGGAAGACCCGGGACAAATACCAAGAAGGCACCTGCAGCTCAGGACCAACAAGGATGTTCTGGCCTAGGAGCCAGACATGACTACGGGGAACATCCTTACCTAGGAGGTACTGCTGATCAGCACAGTGACCTCTCTTGTAGAGTCTGCACTGATCACAGTAGTGTGGCGACTGTTCCATATCTTGCAAGCCACCATCGGGCATAAAGTTAAAGCAGATCCGTGACAAACAAAAGCAGCGCTAACAGACATTGGCCGGACGTTCAAAGCCATACAAAATCTCTGGATGCAAATTAGTAACATGACTAGTGATGCAAGTGCATCCAATACAGTCTCGAGCAAAGGCAGGTTGAGCAAGACCACCAGTATGAGTAGTGGTGCTAAGGTGCGAAGTAAAGACGGACATTGGTTGATAAGGAAATAAGTGAAGGCAAGGACTAGAAGTAGATAAAATATGCAACTGGAAAAAGAAGCAAGGAAATGGTATACCCCTGCTCAATGTTTGTAAAAATTTTACAGCGGTGTTTCACATTAGGTCACTGCTAATACCTTCACCCCCGCAATATTAATGCATGTTTATTCTCCTACCCCCATGATTTTCCTCATAGCACCCAAGTACCCCCAATGTTTCTCATGACACCCAAGTACCCCCAAAGTTAAAAATCTGTAAGCCCTATCACCTCCACCCCATCATACACTTCCCTGTTCCCATTATTATTATATTACTGTATTCATTGATCGTTGTAAATTATACTCCCTAGTATTAGAGGGGGAGAATGTTACCGACTAGGTAGCAGTTAGTCAAGGAACCTAGGCCCCGGCCTGGGTTGTACAAAGCTTATTAGGCCCAGTAGTATATAAAGGCTGGCTGGGTTGGGAAAATAAAAAGTAACCTCTTTTCCACTGAATCATTCACTGACCTGGATAAACGTTCCCTATAGACAAGGCCCTAGTCTATAACAATGATATTATATATTTTTTATAAATTTCTTATAGTCGAAGTAATCCTTTTTAGCTGAAATAATATTTTTTATTAATTTTACTTTTTTCTTAAAAATTGAATTTTTATTTATTATATTGAGTAGTGCTCAAAATATATATAATTATTATTATCAAAATTTAACATTAATCTAAGGTTATCAGATTTCCTGGATTGCTCTACTAGAGTTAAAAGATCAAACAAAACAATGGACACTACTAATTTTCAAGAACAATTACAATCAGAAGTTTATAAGTTGGTAGAAAACAAATAGATGTTTTTAAATATAGAATGTCCATATATACAAAATAAATTCAATCACAGAACAGAAATTAAAAAAACTAAAAATAATAAAATTGATATTATAAAAGATATTCTTTTAAAATAGTTGGGTTACATTCCTATATTTTACTTTTTAAATGTTTTATATGGAAATAGAGAATATCCTGGTCCTTATAAAGAAATTAAAAAGGGTTTAATTTTATTATACTATATTGTATCAGGTAAATCTGGAAATGATATGCATAAATTTATACCATATTCTACTTTTTATGATATATATAAACGTTTTTGGATTACTAATTATAATAATATTAATAAAGTTGTAAAAAAAGATTTAGATGAACTATTTTCAAATATTAAAATTCGTATTTTAGCAGCAAAAGTTAATAATCCACAAGGATTTAAAAATGTTACATTATTTCTTGATGGATATGATTCAAAAATTAAATATTATAATCCATCTGAATCATCCAAAACATTATATTCATATAAATTAAAAGGAAAAGGAATTAGAACACAAATTATGTCAGATATGAATAATATGATCAGATATGTATCAGATAGTGAAAAATGTGCTATAGGAAATGATGGTATAATGTTTTTGAATATGAAGCTGTATAAAAATAAGATATCAGAAGCAGATTGTATTGGTTTTGAGGATATGATTTATTTATTGAAAAATTTATTGATTATGCTGATAATTATAATAGTAGTAATACATTTAATAATAGAAATTTTATGTATCCTATACGGAAAGAGCAAAATATAAATAGAAGTGTAACAGAATTAGATTATAATAAAAAATTTGGGTCATTTAGATCAGGAATAGAAAATCATTTTTCAGTTTTAGTATCTAAATTTGATCGTTTTAATAATAATAGAGCAGCAATTCAAATATCTGATATGAAATATTATAATTTACAATTAAGAGTATGTTGTATATTAAAAAATATATAGAAAATGGTAAATGATTATCAGATAGAAGTTCAACCACATCATATATTATGGTATAATGATAGTTTTGAATTTCCAACTAAAGAAACAAAATTAAATTATATTTTTAAGAATAAATAGTTAATTGATACTGAATATAATGAAATGTTAGATATACAAGAAAAGTTTTTAAATATCAATATAAAAGATATAAATATGATATATGAAGAAGATGAAGTTATAAATAGAGAAGAAACAATAACCAAAAAAAGAAAGAAAAATAAAGACAAAGAAAAAGCAAATGAAGAAAATATATATGAAGTAGAAAAAATAATAGATCATTTTGATAGATGAGAGAGGAAAGTTTGTATTTTATGTTAAATGGTTAGGTTATGATGATGAAGATAATATATGGATTAAAGAAAGTAATTTTAATACAAAAACTATTATAACTGATTATAAAAATTTGAATAATTTATAAATATAAAAAAAAAAAGAAATTAAAAAAGGTAATAATGGATCCTAATAACTTTGCTCTTAATATAGATTATGATTTTGATTTTCATAAACTTAATACTTATGATGAAATTTTAAAATATATTGGTAAAAATTTATTAGCAAGATATATTGAAAATAAAAATAATAAGATTGAAAATTTTAAATGATATTATATATATAAAAGAGATTGGTATGAGAAATCATTGTGATTTTTATTATATTAATGTTAATATTTCTCTACTAACTTATTATATAAAATTAACTGCTAATTAATAAAATTTAATAATGAAAATCAAATATTTTAAATTCCTAATATAATTGCTTTTTCAAAAATTATTCAAACTATTTTATATGTAAATAAGGACTATGAAGATTATGCATATTATGTCTTATTTAGAAATAACCGAATATAGTGTACTGATAAAGCTCCATTTATTTATAGAGATGAAATAGTCAATAATTAAAATTAATTAATAATTATTTATTACTTGGTAATAATTTTTTTATCAGAATAATGTCATTTTAGTCAACTGCTATTGTGACTATTTTAATAATATAATTATTTGATTAATAAAAATTATAGATTAAAAAAAATTATAATGGTTCAAATTAGCCGCTATATGCTACATAAAATAAAAATAATTATAAGGGGAGACTATGTCTTTTTTGGTTTTGAAATTAAAATTATTTCTTTATGAATTAATAAAATCAGAATTAATGAATTTATATATTAATTAATTTATAACTTATTGTGATAGTTTTATTGATTATTTTGTTGAATATAATTATGTTTTAAATCTTTAATAAATGTATAAACATGAATTTAAATTTTTATAATGTTTTAAAAATCTATTTATTAAAATCCTTCAGTTTTACGATTTATAACTCACAAAAAAGGAAATCTTTTCAATCTCCTCCTCCTTTCTTTCCTTCACAGTCTCTTTACGCGTTCGATACGAGCTCATCGAAGCTATTTACAGCAGCCTTGACGCACCACACGTGGATCGCGATTACCTCATCAGTCGCTCCATTCTAACTCCAAAAAATGTCGACATTTCAGCAATCAACGATCTGATACTCGACCATTTCCCAGGCACTATCCACGAATTCCCGAGTGCAGATACTGTGGATGATCCAGAGGATCAAATCACATACCCACCAGAGCTGCTCAGTTCCATGAATCAATCCAACCTCCCACCACACTTGCTAAAACTCAAAGTCGGTTGCCCAATTATGCTTTTGAGAAACTTGCACACCCAAAGTGGTCTCTGCAACGGGACATGGCTGATTGTACGCTCTTTTCAAAGATATGTACTTGATGCTGAAATAGCCACTAGACCTCATGCCGGTAACATCGTCTTGATCCCTTGCATAACTCTCACACCTTCACAAACACGTTCCCCCATTCTTTTTTAAACGCACACAATTCCCTGTTCACCTGGTATTTGCAATGACCATCAATAAGGCATAGGGTCAAACTTTCAACACTGTCGGCCTCTACTTGCCTGAACCTCCGTTCACGCATGGTCTACTCTATGTAGCCATGTCGCGCGTCCGCACCCCTTCATCCATCAGAATCATGTTAGATCCTGAGAACTCACGTAGCGTGGGTCAGCAAGGCCAAAGCACAAGAAATGTTGTTTTTCACGAAGTTCTTCTATAATTCTTTTTGTCACCTACTCTATTTTTACATCGCCCATTCTCTTTTTCTACATCGCCTATTCTCTTTTTCTACATCGCCTATTCTCTTTTTCTACATCGCCTATTCTCTTTTTCTACATCGCCTATTCTCTTTTTTTATATTGCCTATTCTCTTTTTATCAATATCACTACATCATCTTTGTCAACACTTCTTTTCGCATTGCATTCTAAACTGGAGATAGTTAAGTATCCAACTTTGACGACTTTCTATGATAGACTACTTCGCACTACACAATGATCTTGCTTTTGTTTTTGAAAACAGACAATTAGTATCTAATACCAAAACATTGATCCAACCTCGCTTGACAGGGGGGTTTGGGGGGCTTGCCCCCACTTGGGGGTCAAGGGGGGAACCCCCTTGCGACGCGTTTCCGTTGAATGACACAGAGCGAAGCGGAGGGGCTCATTCATCCGAGCGAAGCGAGGAAGGACTGCTAGTTATATTATAAAATTTTAAAATTTAAAAGTTAAAATTTAAAATTAAAAAAAAATAGTTAACAATTTATATTATAAAGTATAAGTTTTTAATTCTCTTTAAATATGAATATTATATATTTTAATTATAACAAAAACTTTAACGTAAAAAAATTATTAACACAAAATTCAAAAATATTACATTAATATAAATATCTTTAAATTTCTAGAAATCCTTTTGATACCGACTTGTCCCTATAAAGTAGGCTATAATGGAAGTAACAAACAATGTTATTCCGAAAAGACCAAGAAGTAGTGTATTTGCAAGCCGTACTTTATTTAAAAACTTAACAAAACATGCAAAAGCAGAAGGGAGGGAAAAATAGTAAAGAAGAGAA